GGAATAAAGCTTGGAACAACAGAAGAAATGAACAGAATAGGAAGTCTGCATATATGTAGTGTGCAACTGTGGAATATATACAGATAGAAAAAATCTGATACTGTTGTATTGCAGAAAAGCTATATCTGTATGGCTTGCAATGATTGTCACAGACATATAGAAGCATACTGCTAAAACTGAAAAGACGTATAAAAAAAGTGCCAAAACTGGCACTGAAAATATAAATTATAAAGAAAAAAAACCAGTGGCTGGATAATTTAATAAAAAACTGGTAAATGGGAAAAGACATGCAACTATCAAAATATTCAAAATTTTTAGAACAGAAAGAAGGAATCAATACCAGTAAGCTGCCTTAAATACTATTCAAGGAAGAGGTCACAGAAAGATTAGTATACAGTATGATAAATTTTGACAGTTTCTCTAGTAAGTGGGCTATTACTAAGAAATGAACTATCGGACTACATAATGCTTTGCAAATCAGTCTAAACCAATTCAGAGAAAGCTGAACTAATGCATGGAAGCACAGTAAAAAAAGGATGTATTTAGCCAGAATTTTTGCATTCATGGAATTTACCTGTGAAAGCCACAATAGATTAGTTTTTCCTATTACTTTATGTTCCAGGACCTAAAACTAAAACAAACACTAGAAATACTATCCTTTGGTGTATATACACACAAGTTTCCAATTAAGTGCAAAGACTCGGTTGAAAGTTACATTCACCAAGTGGGCAAAATGATCTCAAGAAGCGTTTCTCTTTCAGCTATTTCAAGTGCTGGAGTCTCACCTGGAGCCCATCCTGCAAAGTGACTGATAGGAGGAGGCAGGCATGTAGACAATAGCAGAGTTATAGCACAACATAAGGAAGCTCAGTACCTCAAATCTGAAAAGAGACCAGAACATGAAAAATTAATTATGTAAACTGAGATTCTAATACTCCACCAGAAAATCTTAAGTCTTGTTTCTCACAGGGCAAGGTGTCATCACCAGAAATGCTGCGTGTGCGCGCAGACACACACAAAGAAATGAACTATAAATATAGGGCTTAGTCTGTCTGTTCATAATGCTCTTGGGGGGGCGTGGCTCCTGGCAGAACATGGCTCCAGCCAGGGCTGCGTTAAGAATGATGGGCGGGGCAGGCAGGCACAGAGTGCCGCTACCCACCACCCTGTGCTGGCGCCTCCTCTCTGGAGCAGTAAAGGGAAACCTGCATGCCGTCGCCACCACTCACTGTCCCGCACTGCCGCCACTCCGTGTCTGTCCGGCTGTGTTCAAGCCCCTGCCCCCCAGGAGATAGCAGTGGCATGAGGCAGGGGGGAGAGAGGGAGGAGGTGGAGGACAGGGCTGGATGTGGAGCAGGGGAGGGGATGCAGGACAGGACATGGAGCATTGGGGGAGGGGAGGAGGTGTGCAGCTGGATGAGAAGTGGCAACAGCACGAGGCAGTAGGTCGCACCAGCTGCCACATGCAAGCTTCCCCCCCCACCCACTCTTGCTCCTGGGAGGCAGCAGCAGTGCAGGGTGGCGGTACTCTGTCCCTGCCCCCCCCCCCCAACATTGTTCATGGGCAATTTGTTAGTAAATATGTAAGTTCTCTGCTTCATTTTAATTAAGAATAAGTGAAAACAGCCAAGGTATAGAAAAAGTTTGCCTTCCTGTAAAGTTATTTTATCTTAGTATTGGTCTGTCAAATGTTCAGTATTGTAAATGGCCCAAAAAACAGGACTGAGGGACATGGACATAATGCAGAAATTATCTGCATCTAAACTGGTCAGATTAACAGATTCTAGAGTTTAGGAAAAGGGCCTCACTATACAGTGTGAACACCACATAGACCTAGTGAACTGGAATACCTAGACTTTATTTCTCCTTTCCCTATTGCTCTATAATTACAAAAGAAAGAAAAAAAAAGAAGCATTGTGCTCACCCTTAATACCTAGATCTGCTGAAAAACTTATCAAATATTTCTGACTTGTCTACTTGCCTGTTTTGTGCAGTGAAGGTTTCTCTCTGCGGATGAAGATCACTATAAACCACCCTGATCAGGTCATGCTGACATAGAGCTCCCTCAGTCAAAGCCATGGATCCAATAGTGGAAGGCTAAGGGGAAGAAGTTACGAAATTAAGACCTGAATTCTTAGCTCCATGCATGGAGTTACAAAACAGGCTCATCTCAAGAGTAAATTGGATACTTATCTTGCTGCGATCCTATGACCCCAGCTGACTTCCTGCCCTTCAGGCAGGGGGCTGGACTCGATGATCTTCTGAGATCCCTTCCAGCCCTAATGTCTATGAAATCTATGAAAAGTTATGATCTGTCCAGACCTTCTACTCTGCCTGGAAAACTTAACGGGGCAGCGGGGGGAGGGACATTGATTTGTTGGATATGAAGGTAACTTTGTTGCACATATAAATGGGACCAGCCAGAGACAGTGGGACTATGTTTCAAATAAGTTTTCCTACACAACTAGTTATCAAAACAACCACTTTTGGTGGCCTGTGAAAAACTGGCTAACCTTGGCAGTCCCCTGGTGACAAGTGGAAGGTGGCTCACAAAAACATCCTGTAGAGTACAGGAGCAGGCTATTATTTTGGACAGAGAGCTGCTTACTGAGTTTCGGCAAGCCATCGAGGGCCACATGGGTAGCCCCAGCCCTTGATGGGTGCCCCACCCCCTGGTTGCCATCTTGGGATCGAAAGTCCTGCCTCAAAACCCCCAACCTTTGCAATCAGACAGCCCTCCCCTTGCCCCCCAGAATTATTCCTTTCGGCAAGGGAGTTTGCCATTTCTGAACCAGAAAAATACCAAATTATATTCTAAAACTCCAACAGGTACTACAACATTCATTCATTTCATTTCAAAAAATATTTTTGTCCTGATTTGTGTAGTGTACATAGAGGTGATAGTATAATAACTTAAAAATGAGGTCTTACTCTTGTATATTGCGGGAGGGTGTCAGTGGGAGGATGGGTATAGGTTTGTGGGTATGTAGGGTGTGGGAGAGGGGGTGTGTGTGCGCATGTGGGATTTGTGGGGGGGGTAGAGATAGGTGAGCAGGTGTAGCTGGGTATAGGTTTTTGGGGAGGCTGTGAGTGTTTGGGCAGGGTGGCTGAGGGGTTGTGGAGGGGAGGGGGTTTGTCCACAGCCCCTCCATGGCAGGCAGAGCCCCTGCCAGCACTCCTGCAAGCCTGGGCTCTGCACTCCTGGCCCCAGGGCACTAGCATGAACCCTGTGCTCCCACTTGCTGCCACTTGCCCCCGTCTGCCACTGCTGTCCCCCACTCCCCACACTGCTACTGCACTGCAGCTTGGAACCACGTGATGCCAGAGCACAGAAGGCAGAGGGGTGAGTGGGGAAATGGATGCAGCAGGCAGGGGGAAGGTGCAGCAAATGGGGGCATGGAGAGCAGGAGTGTAGGGCCTGGGCTGCCAGGGGCTATATGGAGCTGGGCTGTGCTGTTCAAGCAGGAAGAGGAGGGAGCCAGCCTGGCTCCGTAAAGCCCCTGGGAGCCTGGCCCCATGCTCTTGCCACCCCACTCCAGGCCCCGCTGGCGCTGGCCTTGGTGCACCAGCATGGGCCCCACACTCCCACCCAGCTGTTGCTGCATTCCACATGCCCACTTACTACCCCTTCCCACCACCTGCTGCAGTCATTTCCCCCACTCGCCCGCCTACTGGCCAGCACTATGTGGTTCCCAGCTGCAGCGCCGGGATCACAAGAGCCTGCCCTGAGGACTGGGGCAATCATCCACAGCCCTCTCCTGCTTCCCTCCTTATCTGTATTTCCCTTAGTGCAAGGAGGCAAGCCAGAAGCCTCTAGAAGCCCCTGCTAGGCAGAAGCTTCTGGCTGTGGCTTGGGGTAATGGGGGCTGGAGGGGGGCGCGGGGCCAGGCCAGACTTACTGCTGCAGCTGTTTAGCTCTGCCACTGGCTTCCCCTAGGTCCTACTGCCCCTAGCTCCTGTCATGTTTGACAGGCAGCCAGGGACAGATAAAAATTAAATTTTCTAAAATTTTTAGGGGCCCCGCAGGCTGGACAAAATGGCCTGGCGGGCTGGATTTGGCCCTTGAGCCGTATTTTGCCTGCTCCTGCTGTCGCAGAAAGGGTCCGTGTTATGGTGAAGTCTGAGAACTGCCCTAAACAGTTCCATATCCAATATGGCATCTCAGTACTGACCTGCAAGATCTTTTATTTTAGCCAAGGATTTCTTTTTCAAGAATCAAATCTATGCCAATTTTCTCAGGGTTTTGTGATGTGAATACATATCTGCTATGAATTATATTGAGATGACAAGTTCTTCACAGCTGTCTTGGTAAAAATTGAGTTCTAACATTTACAGTAAGAAGTCTAGTGAAATCATATTGCCCTGCTTACCTCCTACACCCACAATTTTAAAATTAAGTATGTAATATCAGTGACTACTTTGAATTTTAGCAATTCTGAAAATTTAAAGACGGAATGAGTTCTAAATAAGGGAACTGTGCCCATTTTTATCCATCAAAGAAAATCTCAAAGAAATAATTAACTTACTATGGCATTATATTTTTGCAGTTAACTATGCACTTGACAATGCCCAAGTCCAGCTCCAATCTCAAGGAAGAACCTGTTAACAAGAACCTCATGGGGAAAACACTGACCCTATTTAAATCAATGGGAGTTTTGCCATCAACTTCAGCGAAGCTAGGATTTCACCAATATTTTTGTAAGACATTTCACTTAAAAGGAGTTCAAAAGCCTTCCTTGAGGCTAGTTTCTAAGCAACTTACTAGTAAAGAGCTAGTGAACTCACACTCTGCACTACAAGTCACCATAATGCAGAATCTCATAAACCACAGTATGAGACCAGTTTTTCAATTCCCTCCTTCCCAATCCTAAATTTCCCATTAGTGACCCAGGGCCCATCAACTGCAGAAATAATTTCATTTTCTGAGCTCCATATTTCCCCAAAATCTGACTTAGTGTCACCATCCATTCTAGGAACAAAGTGACATGCAGTGATAGGGGGAAGGATTTTTAAAGAAGAATAGCATATAAAAATGTATTCCAATTAGACATACGAAAAATGGGTTTAAACCTGAAAAATCACCAGAAAAATCTAAAGATTCAACAGAATCATAGTTTCATAATTTCTAGGGTCGGAAGGGACCTAAGTAGATCATCTAGTCCGACCCCCTGCCGTGGCAGGAAAGAGTACTGGGGTCAAACGACCCCAGCAAGGTGTTCATCTAACCTCCTCTTAAAAACCCCCAGGGTAGGAGCCTGCACCACTTCTCTTGGAAGTTGGTTCCAGATCCTAGCTGCCCTGACCGTGAAGTAGTGCCTCCTGATATCTAGCCTAAATCTACCCTCTGCTAGCTTGTGACCGTTATTCCTGGTCACTCCTGGCAGTGCTCGGGGGAACAGGGACTCCCCCAATGCCTGCTGATCCCCTCTGACTAGTTTGTAACAGGCCACTAGATCCCCCTCAGCCTTCTCTTGTGGAGGCTGAACA